GTTCAAATTATCTTAGATAGAAATTCATAAAAGTTTTTCTTTTAAGATTTGAAAATTAGATACAAGGCTCCTAACATATTTTCACAACAGCAGTTGAAAAATAAAAGAAATTTATAGCCACAATTTTTTTTTATAAGCATTCAAAGTTTGAATTTTGACAACACGGGTACGTAAAAATCACGAAAATTCGCAAATTATTTTAAGCTAGAAAATTCGTAAGAATTTTCTTTTTAAATCTAAGATATGAAAATTTTTAATAATCTAAAACATATCTTAGACAGATAAACCGTCTCCGCTTAGAATCGTTTTTCGTATACAATGATATAATATCATTGGATTCAAATTTAATGCCATCCATTATAGTAACTCGTAACCTGCTGTATAGCAGAGTGACATCCACGACTTACCCGCTTTTTCAAATTATCTATGATAATCACAATTGTGTACATTTCAGTATAGTTTTACATTTTAATGAGAATTAAAAATTATGTAAATAAACAAGGTATTTATTTTAATTTTAGGTCGGATACTACAAGTACGATTCTTTACATAATATTTTAAAATAATTGAAATGTGTAGTAATAAAATGCCTAAGCAAGTTATTTAAAATTGTTTAATGTGAATATTTAAATTTGAATAGCGAATAGTAGAAGTACATGTTACCAATTTTATTCTAAAATCGTTAGTTTATTTACACTTGCTCAAATCAATGTATCGCTGCAATATCTCAGATTCTAAGGTTGAAACGGATTTATTTAATTTATTAAAAAATTTTCCAGTTGTTTTAACTTTAAACCCAAAACCTAATAATCTAAGAGATAAATAATTTCTAGAATTAATACAGTACGTATTTAAAATATGAGTCTTGACTAACGATCAACTATAACACTATTTTTCATTACAAAATAAATAAATTGAATACATTAATGAAATAATTTAAAACATTAAAATACTATGAAAACATTTGTTAGGATAACAATAAAATGACAATTATACCTCAGATATAATGAAAGTAAACATCTTTTAACAGTTTATTTGCAAAATATAAAAAACGGTGCTTTATAAACCATAATAATAAACAAACATAGTTTAAAAAAAATTAAATGATATACATGTTAGGGCAATGTATACAATCGGGGCATATATATACGTACATTGCACGGGCATTGTATTGAATGACCTGCATTTTTGGGCAATTTGAAAATTATTTAATAATTTTCTATATTGTCCGGGCATTATACAGAATGGCCAATTTATCAAGGGCAATATGAACTTAAAAAAAATATTTCCATATTTTGTTTTTACTAAAAGAACCTATATGAAATTAAATTTCCAATACCTATAGCCTGGCCGATTTATCAAAGTATAATAAAGATTCTAATTCATTCGATAACAATTCTCTTATTTTTGATCCACTATCAACTATAATTTATAAAGGTATTAAATATAGTGATTTCACTACATTATTTCCAAGCTTTAGATGAGATCATAGATACCTACTTAATCAGTCAGTTAGTTACATTGATATTATATAGGTACTTTATACATGTATAACATAGCATTTCATTGTGTTCTCGTATATATAGTCGCGTAGGTATTTAGTATCACCTAGTGTAGTGTGTTAACTAATACGATCAGTGTCTTATTTTAATTTGTTTCGCCGTTTAATTTAAATTTAAATTTAATTTGTTAGATATGGAAAATTTTATTTTAAAATTTAACGAACTATTAATAAAAAAAAGGTTCAAATAATACTTACTCAAGTACATCAAAATATGACGATTTGATTGTTTATTTAAAGCAATTAAAAAATCAAACTGAAAAATTTAAACCAAATGATTATAGGCTCTTAAAAATTATGACGTGATTCAAATATCTGAAGAAGAAAAATAAATTGTTCCTATAACTGAAGGTAATACTATAAAATATTATGTACATAATAAACAATTGTTTAACATTATACACGAGGTGCATTTATCAATTGGACATGGCGGCAGGAATAGTACGGAGTATGAAATTAATATGAAATTCAAAACTATAACTAGAGAATCAATTATGCTGTACTTAAATAATTATCAATCGTGTCAAAAAAAAGGAAGTAGGCTAAAAAAGGGTTAGTAGTCACTAGTCAAACCAATTATATCATCTGAAATGAATTCTCGTTGCCAGATTAATTTAATAGATATTCAGGCACAACCAGATGACGAATATAAATTCATTTTAGTGTACCAAGATCATTTGACAAAATTCGTTTTACTCAGACCATTAATACAGAMACGCGCTGAAGGAGTGGCGTATGTATTATTGGATATTTTTACAACTTCTAGTGGGCCTTCAATTTTGCAAAGTGATAATGGCCGAGAATTTGCGAATAAAGTTGTAACAGAACATTGTACCATGTGGCCAGAACTCAAAATAGTCCATGGTAAACCACGTCATTCACAAAGTCAAGGTTCAATTGAAAGAGCCAATCAAGGAATAGAAAACATTTTAGCTACGTGGCTACAGGATAATCGTACCAAAAAATGGAAGGAAAGATTAAAGTTTGTGTAGTTTATGAAGAATCGTGAATTACATCAGGGAAGAAGTACAATTTTACCGGATAATATAATTTGCAATTTAAAAAGTGAAGAAGACTTCGAAACAGCTCTTAATTCATTAAAAAAATCAGATGACTGCAGTGATAATGAAATAGAAAATGAAAAAGGTAAAATATAATATTATTATTATAGCTGGGATATTTTTTTCTGGTATTTTGATATGGATAATAAATTATATTGCGCTATAACTAGAATTATCGTCGATTACAATTTTATCATATAATATCTAGGCCTCKATAATAATAATAATTAGTAACCAATTAGTACGTCCAGAACTAAATAAATAACAAATATTATAGTAACGATACTATAAAAATAAAATCTAATTTTTTTTTTTAAAGTAGTTTTTGTAATTTTTGTATTTTTTAAGTGCATTTTTTGCTAATTATTATATTATTATTTTGTATTAATAATATTATAAAAAATAATATATGTAAATTATTTAATTAAGTATTAATTATATTTTTGGAT